AGAATGGACATACTTTAATTCATTGTTTATCGTTTTTTTATGCTACAATGTTATCTTGTGATACGGTTTGGTTTGTTATGAATTTTGCGTAAAGCAACTCGAGAACTATCTGGCGCTAGCCGACCCTAATTTAGCAGTGTAAGACTACAGGGAAGGCAGCAAGTCATCACCTCCTACCGCCAACTCTTAGACTACTCTTTTTACCAGCGAATAGTGGGATTGACCGTACCATTATGACGCCCCATGGTTGAATGGGCGAGCATATTTGGTGGGACGGGGATTCGAACCCGCGACTCGCAGATTGCGAGTCGAGCGCCCTAACCACCTGGCCATGTTCAGCCTTGTGATAAGGTTGGTATTTGATAGTTCGATGGTAAGTTTTATAGATTATTTGATTACCGTGTTTGCGGTTTATTGTAAGTTTATTTATGCTCCCAGTGGTATGTCTGCGAACTAACAAACCTAGAAACCGGGTTTCTATACCCGTGGTATAGAATAGCCCATTATGCAGCTTTCTGCTTAACTACAAATAAACATTTTTTAGTACTATTCTGTCGTGCCTGCTGCTGCCGTATTTTAACTTACAATCAAACGATGTTTGTTTTTTGTTGTTGTTTTTCAGAGCACAGCAGTCACCTTATGAAATCAAAGTAAACCTAGGAGACTATGTCTTAAACTCTAAAATAGAGGGACTGCCAAATGAAATGTTTGGTGTGACCGAGGTCCGGCTGCATCCTAACTTCAGATTCACCCCACAAGCGGACAGGTTCGACGTAGCAGTGTTAATTCTGGACCACCCGATTCACTATAGGGCCAACATGCGCCCTATTTGTCTTCCTGACAAGGGCGAAGATTTCCTTGGACAGATGGCTTACGTCACTGGCTGGGGTGCACTGGAGCCAGGTACAATAATATATTCTTGTTGTGATTTGTTGGCTAGAGCAACGCACTGGCACGTATTTGGCCAGTGGTAGCTTTAAGAAATCCACACCAAGAGCTGAAGGTTGTTTAAATGTATACATTTTGCTTTCCAAACTCTAGTCTTATCCTAACTGGTAGGCAGAACTATGTATCATCAACGATGATATGAGCAACAACAAGAATAATGATAATTGATGGAACTCAATATGTTTTTTGGATACCCTGATCAGTTGTATTGAAATGTGCTGTTTTTGTTTGTTTTAGCGCAAAGCCACACAACAGACTATCTGCGTTCTGTACACCGCGGGGAATCGAACCCTGGATTTTATCGTTGTAAGTCCATAAACTGACCCCCTGATGGGTGCGGCTGAAATATTTCGAAACTAAATTGTTTCTTATAGTCAACGGCCGGGTTTTTTTTGTTTGTTTTTTTTATCGTAAAGGCCAAAAAAAAAGACCAAGGTTTATTTTTTTCTATATTTGAAAATAAAACTTATCGACATACTCATAACTACTTGTTCTAGTTTTCAGTATCAGCTTTGGTGAAAAATAGAAAACGAGATATTTACGACGTATTCCTCTTGCTTCCAACAATATCTCAATAACTAAAGTAGAATCTCAGATTGGATATACAAGTACATTTTGTCCCTAAATCCATCTTCTCATCACCTTTGTTTTCCTGTCCCTAAATCCACCTTTTCATCACCTTTGTTTTCCTGTCCCTAAATCC